CAGGCAAGATCACCAGGCATGCTGTTGGCTGAGACTGTTGACCCACTGCAAGTTCAGGCACCAGTTGTCCTCCCCTTGTGGAGCCTCTGGAGTTGTCCCATCCAGGTCCCCCAGTTCATCAACGGGACCTGTCATTCGCTCAGTTAACTGCCTTTTCATCATCCCTGAACAATTCAGCCGTGCCTGGCTCTTCCTCCACTTCAGTGCCTGAGGACTTCAAGGACTACCGGGACACTCTGCAGCATCTGGCTGCTTCCCTGGGCATCCAGGTGGAGTTCCTGCAGGAGAACACCCATTAGTTGCTGGACATCCTGCAGTCATCTGCCCTAGGGAGAGTGTCCCTCCCCATTAATGATGCACTCGTAGAGCCTGCAAAGGTTCTTTGGAGCAAACTGGCTTCAATGCTGCCTACAGCAAAGTATTTGGAGAAATGCTACTTTGTCCTGATGCAGGGGTTTGACTCCCACCCAGATCCTAATTCTTTGGTTGTAACTGCAGCGAATGACAAAGCTCGGCTGGGCAGATTTAAGTCTGCTCCTAAGAATAAGGACTCTAATAGAGTGGACTTAGTGGGTAGAAAGAACTACACCACCTCTTCTTCCCTACAAATGCAGATTGTCAACCAACAGGTGGTGGTGTTGTTCAAATACTATTTTGTAAATTGGATGACTGTCTAAATTTACAGACCAGCTGCCTGAAACCTCCAGGGAGGAATTTCGGGCATTTATTGCCGAGGGCTTCTTGGTGCCCAGAACGTTGCTACACTTTTTGTACTAGATGTAGTGAATACTTCAGCCAAAGTGATGGCCTCAGTGGTAACCATGAGGAGGGCACCCCAGCTGCAAAATTTGGGTATTGCTCCAGATGTGCAGCAGGCTATATAGGACTTGCCCTTCAATGGTCAGGTCCTCTTTTCAAACAAAACTGAAATCCTTGGAGGATTCTAGGGCTACTGTATGTTCCTTGGGGGAGTATACACAGGCAGTGCAAAATTGCCAGTATGGTGGTCAGCAGCAACAATCCTGCCTGCAATGCCTCTTTGGGCAATCTTTTCCTCCCCTGAGAAAGTGGAACTACCTCAGAAAGGGGCCTAGGTCCAGGGGCAGAGACATTCAGGTTCTGGGTTCAGCCAGTTGACATGCTGTCCCCAAGCACCCGTTTTGACTCATTTGTCCAGAGCAGCAGTCCAGTTGTGACTTCCGCTACCCTGGTCCCCGCCATTTGGGGACAGGCTAGCTCACTTTCACAATATTTGGTGCTCAGTTACCACTGCCCACTGGGCCCTAAACACCATCACATTGGGCTATGCTATCCAATTCTCCTGCACCCTGCCTCCCCCCTCTCTCTCTCTTCCTCCTCAGGGACCCTTCTCATGAGATACTGCTCCTCGAGCAGGTCTGGTCGCTACTGGCTTTGGGAGTTGTGGATGAGGTCCCTCTGGAGTGCCTGTATTAAGGTTTTTATTCATGGTACTTTATGGTTCCCAAATCTGGTTCCCTATCCTCAATCTCTGCAACCTCAACAAATATATCAGATATCTCAGGTTCTGAATGGTCCCTCTCAGCATCCCTCCCCACGTTGACTCAAAACAACTGGTTTGCTGTTCTGGACCTTCAGGACACTTACTTCCATGTGGCGATTCTCCCAAGCTACTGAAGATTTTTCCAATTTGTCATGGTGAACCACCATTTTCAGTGCATATCCTTCCTTTCAGTCTGTCTTCTGCCCACCCCAGGTTTTTACCCAATGTATGGTGGTGGTGACAGCGTACCTCAGGAAGAAGGGGGGAATCCTTGTCTTCCCATATCTGGACAAATGGCTGCTAAGGGGCAGGTCCAGAGAAGAAGTTTTTTCTCACATACACGTTATGCTGTGCTTACTCAACTCTCTGGATCTAATCCTAGACACTGAAAAGTCAACATTGGTCTCCACTCAGAAAATTGAGTTCATTGGGGCCCTAATAGACTGAGAGTTTGAGAGCATTTTTGCTGACTGACCATTTTTCAGATGATTTGGTGCCTTTGTCTCAGTCTGCAGTCTCAACCTTCCATGGCAGTTCGGAAGTGCTCGAAGCTCTTGGGCCACATGTCTGCATTCACTCAGGTGGTTCAATTTGCCAGGTTGCATCTTCGCCACCTTCAAATGTAGCTCAAGAGCAGCCTACTGTCCAACCCTTCACCCTTTGGGCAGTTTGCTCTGCCTCCCTCCATTGATCCTAGACTCCATCCTGGCAGATGGTTCAGGACGTTCCCTTCATCTGGCCCTTACCGAGGGGTGAAGATCACATAGAAGACTTACTGGTGTGGGGGCCTGGCTCCAGCCGCTGTTAAATTGCTGGGTCCGGGGGCAGCTGCCCCTCCCCCACCCCCCGTTGGGGGGGAGGGCAAAAGGCAGCGCTTTAACGTCGGCTGCATATGGGACGGTACCAGCAGCCACTTCTTACCTGTACTGGCCCACTTTCACCCCTGCCCTTACCTGCTAGGATTGTTGTCACTGATGCCTCCCTCTGGGGTTGCTGAGAGTCCACGGTCTGTGGCGGGGCAGGAAGCTTCGCTCCTGCATATCAATGTGCTGGAGCTTTGGGCCATCACGATACCTGTCACACTTTGCTAGACTGCATCAGGGGCTCAGTGGTTCATGTATTTACTGACCATACAACTGCGATGTATTATTATATAGGCAAGGAGTGTGCTGTGCCAGGAGGCAATGAGGCCGTGGCTGTTCTGCATCGCAGAGTACCACTCTGATAGTCGATCCCTTACCCCACTTCCTGAGAGTGGTGCTTGCGAGTCACTAAGTGGAATGCATGGCTGTATCTACTCAAAGAAGAAATGTTTACTCGTGTAACTGTTGTTGTTTGAGATGTGATGCAGACGTGTATTCTACGACCCAGCCTCCATCCCCTCTGCATCTATGGGCATTCGGTGTGAAGGAAGGGTCAAGGCAGCACCACTTCATATAGCCAGAGGAGGAGGTACAGTCGTGAGGCGCAAGTGCTGCCCCCTATGGGTACTGTTAGGCAAAATTTCCTGGCTCCGGTGCATTGGGCATGCACACAAGTGGAATACATGTCTGTATCACATCTCGAAGAACTACATTTTGTCTTGAGCCTTGACCAAGTCTTTAACCTAGTTACGGTCCAGGCTCTGTACTACAAATTACAGCTAGTTTATGGGATGACCATGTTGCAACCAGGTTGTCAGAGGTGGTTAAATTTGTAGTACAGATAGAGCCAAAGGCTCCGACTCAAATATAAACTTGGGCTAAAGTGCTTTCCTAAGTCCCCCGACGTAATGTTTCCAGCAAAGACGTACGTGTGTGTGTGTGTACACGCACGCACACCCTCCCCCCACCCTCTCCGCTGAAGGTGTGGCATTCATTGGAATTGCACTATTAGTAATTCTGGGCTGCACTCCTTTCTGCCTCTGAATCACCTTGTTTTATCCTACACCACCTTGTGAGTTGCCTTCCTTGCTAACGCCATCTTCATCAGTGGCTAAGTTAACTCCCGGTGAATTACCATTTACAGCTGTTTGATCCCCACATGTAACTGACCTCCCTGACGAATATGTCCCCGAGACATCCCGAGGAGCTGGATCTGTTTAGGGCAGGTGTGAACTTGTGCCACAGTGCTTAGTAGGGAAACACTCTTATCTAGCTAACGGTGGTGTAATTCTTTTGTAAATGTAAAACCATGATTACTTGTGTTTCAGTCAAGTACATCTCCATGTAATCAGCCAGGATTTTGATTCCCCTTGCCTTAAAAACAAAAAGCACTGGAATTCTTTTACTACAGAATACTTCTTAAACTCTCAAGGTAAAGACTTTATAAAATTTACTCCATAATGTATAATTTTATCGTTTTCATGTATTTTCAAAGCTAATGTAAATCTTAAACAGTGTGTTAGAAAAAGTGGAAGGTCCTGCTTAGTTTTGGATATTGGATAACATGGGTTTTCTGATGAAACTAGCACAGCATTTCATTGGCTTATGTTTAACAATGGGACAGGCTCTTCTAATTCCAGGTGGAATATCTGAAGAAAGAATGTGGAATGTTGGGGTAGAACAATCCTATTCTGCAGTGATAAAATGTTGTATAGGTAAAGCAGCGTGCACACACTCTTCATAGTGCTGAGAGTGCACTTTGTTCTGATACCAAATGTCTTTGTTTCCTTCAGATGTGATAGAGATGGTAGAGACCAAAGGAAAAGTTCTGGTTAAAGATGGGACTTCTGAGCTCCTCAAGTTGCCCCTCAGATGTCATGTGTGCAAGCAACACCAGTCCACCATCCCACAGCTAAAGGAACATCTCAAGAAACATTGGCCAAAGTAACTGTAAAAATCACTCTGAAATCTGATCAGTCTAAGGCTAAAAACAGTCCCCCAAAACTTTTTGTCAAGTTGCATAGACTTTTGTTTTAGCTGAATTACAAATTCAACACTCGAAAGGTTCCTCGCTAGTACAAACAGCATACGACTGACACTTTTGTAACAACTTTTCAGAAGACAAATAAAGCAGCCTCAAGATCAGTACTTTGTAGATTCATTGTGACCTATCAGTCCTGCAGTGTATCTGACTGCGAAGTCTCTCAAGGGTTTTCTGGGGGTAAATGTGGCAGCTTCTTATGCAAAATTCTGCTAAGCACCTGATACAGATGTAATAGATTCCAAGGCCAGAAGGGACCCTTGGGATCATCTAGGCTGACCTCCTGTATAGCCTGGGCCAGAGACCTGCCCTACAATAATGCTTAGAGCCGAGCTTTTAGAAAAAACATCCCACCTTGATTTAGAAATTGTCAATGATGAAGAATCCACCACAACCCTTGGTAGGATGTTCCAATAGTTAATTATGCTCACCGTTAAACATGTCTGCCTTATTTCCCATCTGAATTTGTCTAGCTTCAACTTCCAGCCTTTGGATCGTGTTACGAGTAGGGCTGCCAAGCGATTTAAAACAATAATCGCGATTAAACAACATTAGAATACCATTTGTTTTAAATATTTTTGGATGCTTACTATATCTTGAAATATATTAATTTCAGTTACAACACAGAATACAAAGTATACAGTGCTCATTTTATATTTTTCATTACAAATAATTGTTTTTGCAATGTAAAAAACAAAAATTGTATTTTTCAATTCACCTTATACAAGTACTGTAGTGCAATCTCTTTATCATGAAAGTTGAATGTACAAATGTAAAATTTTGTACTAAAAAAACTGCATAAAAAAACAAAACAATGTCAAACTTTTTAGCCCCTACAAGTGCACTCAGTCCTACTTCTTGGTCAGCCAATCACTCAGACAAACAAGGTTGGTTGCAATTTGCAGGAGATAATGCTGCCTGCTTCTTGTTTGCAATGTCACCTGAAAGTGAGAACAGGCGTTCTCATGGCACGGTTGTAGCTGGCGTTGCAAGATATTTACGTGCCAGATGCACTGAAGATTCGTATGTCCCTTCATGCTTCAACCACCATTCCAGGGGACATGCGTCCATGCTGATGACGGGTTCTGCTTGATAATGATCCAAAACAGTACAGACCGACGCATGTTCATTTTCATCATCTGAGTCAGATGCCACCAGCAGAAGGTTGATTTTCTTTTTTGGTGGTTCGGGTTGTGTAGTTTCTGCATCAGTGTGTTGCTCTTTTAAGACTTCTGAAAGCATGCTCCACACCTCGTCCCTCTCAGATTTTGAAAGGCACTTCAGATTCTTAAACCTTGGGTCGAGTGCTGTAGCTATTTTTAGAAATCTCATATCGGTACCTTCTTTGTGTTTCGTCAAACCTGCTGTGAAAATGTTCTTAAAACGAACATGTGCTTGGTCATCATCCGAGACTGCTATAACATGAAATATATGGCAGAATGTGGGTAAAACAGAGCAGGAGACCTACAATTCTCCCCAAAGGAGTACAATCACAAATTTAATTGACACGTTAGTTTTTTAACGAGCATCATCAGCATGGAAGCATGTCCTCTGGAACGATGGCCGAAGCACGAAGAAGCGCATGAATCGTTAGCGCATCTGGCACATAAATATCTTGTGACGCCAGTGTGACAAAGCGGTTCTGGCGGAACCCAACTGAGGGTGCCAACTCAGGACAAATTGCTCAAATAGGGCAGTTACAGCCCAAGGCTGGGGTTCTTTCCGCCTCTAAGGCAAACCAAACCAGCCAGACTAAGACTTCGGTCTCACCCCACTGGCTAACCGCAAGTCTCACAAGCAATCTCCTTAGACACTCCAGTTTCCCAGTATTACCACCAGTGCCACTCGTTATGGGGACAAATGGTTATGAAAACCAATACCCCAGTAAAAGAAAAAGGTTCTCCTGATCCCAAAGGACCAAGCCCCAGACCCAGGTCAATATACAAATCAGATCTTACCCACAAATCACGCTGCTGCCAATCCTTTAGAATCTAAAATCTAAAGGTTTATTCGTAAAAGGAAAAAGATAGAGATGAGAGTTAGAATTGGTTAAATGGAATCAATTACATACAGTAATGGCAAAGTTCTTGGCAAAATTACAGCAAAATGGAGTCTGGAGTCACATGGGCCAGTCCCTGCATACTTTGCTGAGTTACAAGGCGTATCTGCCTTCTCTCAATGGGTCCATTGTATAGCTGATGGTCCTTAATGGGCCATCAAGCAGGCTAGGCAGAGCTAACACCAGTCTGTCTGGGATGTCACCCAGAAGCATAGCCTCTGCTTGAAATACAGACAGTATAGAGCCAGTATTCCTAACTTCAACTACAAAAGTGATACACACATATAGACAATATAATCATAACCAGTAAACCATAGCCTTGTCTTAGACACCCCATTTGAACCCCTTTATACAAGATTTGGGTGCCACTACAGGACCTTGGTTGCAACAATGATCTATATGGTCCCAGATTATATCAATAACGTCACACCTTCCTTAGAGGTTTTTTAAGGTCAGGCTTGACAAAGCCCTGGCTGAGATGATTTAGT